CCATTTTTGTTGTTGGTTGTTTTATTATTTTAAAAAAACAAAGGGGGGGGGGGGTCCTCCAAAAACACACACATACAAAAAGTTAAAGGGGGGTTCAACCCCCAACCCCCCCCCCCCCTGCGTACTTAGAAAACATTTGGGCACATTTGTGGGTATGCTCATATATTATCCGTTGCAATATTGTCTGGAGAATTCTAATGAGGAACATTTGATGTTTTGTCCTACTATTGGTGCAATGTTTAACAATATGAAGTGCAAAATTTTGATTGATCCGAATAGAAAAAACGACAGGAGATTAACCATTTTATAGATAAATAACAAATTTCGAATAGCTTGAATGCAGATGAGAATAATGGAAGAAGTGATTCAAAATCCCTCAACTTTAATGTTTGTATTTTATAAAAGTGTAAGAATATAGGCTGACGAGCTGTTTTGAAAAATCAAATGAATCTCTTCAGCTTTTTGGAGACCTTTGTCTCCCTAAGGAAATATCCTTGTGCCGCCCTTCGTGAACTTTTAGAATATCTTACTCGTTCAAGTGGAGGGTGCACAAGTCTTCTCTTCCTAATAATAATTCACATCGGAACTCAGATCTATACTTCGGGTATCTTCAAGCGTTTAATGAAGAAATCCTCACTGTTATGTTTGCAGAGATTAGGGTGAAGTGCCAGAGAAAAGTAGGCTAATTGTATTTGGGGCCACGTTCAACACAAAAGTAGAAAACTTTAATTTTCGTTAGGTCTATTGTTCTCTTGCGAAAAGTTATATTTCAAGGTCGTCGGGTGAACCTAAAGGCCCGAATTCACAAAGGAGGTTTGTCGAAAAACCTCCTTTTGTTTCGACAAACCTCCTTTTGTTTTTTACAAACCAGGTTTGTAAAAAACGCGTCAAAATGCGTCATATGACGTACATAAACCTCGGTTTGTCGACAAACCTCCTTTGTGAATTCGGGCCAAAGAGTTCGTACCTTGGCCCAAGTAAGCCAGTAGTTAAATTTAGGATGATCCAGTGGTACTTTTAAGGGTGAGGGGGTTGGGGCGCAAACCTCCTCCAAAATTTCTTCTAGCCCCCTTTCTCCGCCCCCGCCCGCCCCCCAAAATAAATAAATAAAATCGCGTGGCACATGTAGAATATGATGTAAAATATGCATGAAAAAAAAACATGAGACCCTCCCCCAGAACCCCTACCCCACCCCCAATACATTATTGGCAAGAACATTTCATGCTCTTGACCCGCAAATTATTACCTTTACATGAAAACGATGGTAAACGGTACTCGCTCCTTCGACAATTTCTCTGCGGCGTATGATTTTGTAGGGATAACGAAATTCCTAAATATTCAACCTGGCCCTAACCCAGAGAGGTGCATGTGGTGGTCTAGTAGATATGTCGCTGGACGTGAATCACATGCATGGTTTGCGGTTCGAATCCCACCACGTCATTATTATCATTTGGCAAGTCATTTTAGACATTTAAAGCCCCACTGTCCTACTTGTAGCTACTTGCTCCCTCTATATAGAAAACTACCCCAACCTTTTTCTTATGTTAGTTGAGAGCTGAGTTAATGAGATAGCCACCTGTCAGTGACCTCGCTGTGTGGTCTAATCCCTTCTGGCCCAGTAGTGTTGACGGTCTTTAAAACCGACAAAGCATTTTTCTTAACAATTCAGTTCAATAAAAGCTGTTATTATAAGAAAAAACATTATACTTTGTACTATGTGATCAAATACAATGTTTTGATATCTAGCAAACGTTTTGTGTTTGCTTCAATTCTCTAAAGTCCCCTTCAATTGCTGATAATATTTATCCGTTTTTGTCAACGTTGTGTAATTCTTAAACAAACGATGCATCAATGGCATGCTCCTAGCCCAATTTATAGGTCTACATTAGTATATTATGCAGGCGCGTAGCCAGAGTTTGGTGTTTGGGGGGGCACATACATGTAATCGATCGAGGTCAAAAAAAGGGGTCTACAAAATTTCAACCGATCCTGGAAATTTTAGGGGGGGCACGTGCCCCCCCGTGCCCCCCCGTGGCTACGCGCCTGATATTATGTTAGTATCTTTCAACCCCCGTTTGAGACTTTTTACGTTTTTATGAATAGTATTTTATCATATTTTATATATATATATATATATATATATGCAATCAGGTGTTAGATGTTAGTTGTTAGGTGTTAGCTGTAAAGTGTTAAGTGTTATAGGTTAAAATTCTTTTTATGTCACAAGGGACCAGCCCTTAATAAGACTTAATTGTTCTTTCTTGCTGGTTCCTCATTCTTATATATATTTGTATTTTATGTTTATCTTTCGTTATGTTATTTGTATGTTCTTTAGTTATCTGTATTATATCAATGTTATAATTATGTTGTTTTTATATGATGAATGGAATAAAATGAATTAAAAATGAATTGACTTTGACACCACAGGTGTCAGAGCTACGTCCTGTCATCATGCTAAAACGGCGAATGTAATTTCAAGTAATACCTGCGCTCTATCGGAGATATTCAAACCACAACTGTCTTTTTAATTAAGACCTCTGCAAATACCACGACATGTTATGTACAGTAATAAAAGATATCAACGCACCCTGCTTTATTACCAAACTGATTAGTCTGTGCACTGACGTTTGACCCCGCCAGACCATACTTCGCCAAAGGTATAGGTCATGGTTTGTAGGGTTGAAATTAGATTTAGATTCGGGTTAGGGATAGGTATACAGTGTTTAGTCCAGTGTTGATTAATTAAGTGAGGAATTCAGTTAGTGTGTTCGGATATTGATCGCAGGGTAGGAAAAGTATGTATCGTATCCAACCGACCCGTAGAATTCGACGTGATTGCATATTAATTAGGTCTATTGCATATATATTCCTTGTGTGTTCAGATTTTGGACGCATGTTTCCCTCTCCAATCAGGGCAGTATATTCTGCGTGGTCATTGTATAGTATACAATGACCACGTATTACGTGTATGTGCTTTCGGATGGTGTATTTTATTTGTGCATTTTTCCGGTGAGTATTTACTCAAAGCTGTTCTTTCATGCAAACAACAAAATCACCTTCCATATCTCCGACAAGACACACACTCACAATGGAAGGAAATGTGGATTAAATCGCGGAAGAAGAAGAAGGAGAAGAAGTATAGAAGAAGGAGAAGAAAAGAAGAAAAGAAAAAGAAGAAGAAGAAGAGGAAGAAGAAGAAGACGAAAAGAAATGGATGTAATCGAAGAAGAAGAAAAAGAAGAAGAAGAAGAAGAAGAAGAAGAAGAAGAAGAAGAAGAAGAAGAACCGTCCACGGCCTGGTCGGGATCCTCGATTTATTGCATAAGAGTAGGATTGATCACCATGTCAAAGGCTCCATGTAAATTTAGACGACAGCAATATTATTGGCGTCGATCCATCTTCGGAGGGGGGGGGGGGGCACCCTCCCTCTCGGACTCTGCTTCCTGCGAACTCTGCGTGCGAACATGCCGTGAATACGCCTCTGTCTGGGACAAAAATAAAAATTGAAGCAGATTACAGTGCAGCCATCACAACAATAGCCTATATAACACTAAACCAAGATTATAAACACCAGATTGCTTAGACTAGAAATTCATCGAATGTGCCTTTGGATTTTGGTGAAGATTAGAATGTAAAGGGGTAGAAATTCCAACGCTCTTTACTTAAATAAGTCATTTAAAAATAGTACAATGTTCATGATGTCGGAGCTGCTGTAAAAAAACACATCATACCCATACTCTCCATATAATTTTTGTCTAAATGCTTTCCATCGAATTGTTGTTGGCAAAATGGTGTAAAGTTTTACCAGCTGATATGATATAGCAACGGTGAGAACACGACCATATTGATGAATCGGATTGTATCAAGTGTTTATAGTATCACGACGTAGCTTGTATTCACTTTTATACTTCCATATGCACTTTTATACTTCCATATGCACATTCATGTAATAAAATATCTGGATGTGAAAGATGAAACTGATACGTATTGGATGGTGTTATACCCAGGCGCGTACGCAGGGGGGGGGGGGTTAAACCCCTCCCCCTTTGGTTTTTGTTATGTCTGTATTTTGGAGGAACCCCCCCCCCCCTTTGGTAATTTTTTTGTTTTTAATTAAAAAATAAATAAATAAAATTATAAAATGGCTGACCTAAAAAAGGTGACCTTACCCCCCCCCCAACGGAGCAAAATGTAAATTTTTCAAATTTCGAGACCCCCCCCCTCCCCCCTCCCCCGCTTATTCAGCGGCGAGCTGAGTCGTTGCGAAATTTTTGGCCCGATTTCAAAATGTTAACCCCCCCCCCCCCCTTTGAAAAAATCCTGCGTACGCCACTGGTTATACCTATCGTTTGTAACTCCCAAAGTATGCAATAGATACTTTGTTTTTATCTAGTAAAGAATATAGTTCATCTGTCCATGGACTTGTCTGTCATTGTAGATGTGTATTGTACGTGCGGTGAAATAAGGGATATCCGAGTGAAATTAAAGGAAATTATGATAACGATGATGATGATGATGATGATGATGATGGTGGTGATGATGATGATGATGACAACGATGATGATGATGATGATGATGATGATGATGAGGATGATGATGGTGGTGGTGATGATGATGATGATGATGATGAGGATGATGATGAGGATGATGATGATGAGGATGATGATGATGGTGATGGTGATGATGTCGGTGGTGGTGAGGAGAGGGATAGGCATATGGATCAAATCCTAAGGTAATTGATGATGATAATGATGATGCGCTTTATGATGACGATAATGGTAATGATTAATTGGATTTAGGAGGATACGAATGGAGATAAAGAAGGAACTTATTAAGACATTTATGAATAAAAAGAATGTTAATTATGATGACGACTAAATAATAATTAATGGATCACGATGATGTTGTTGATGACGACGATAATGATGCTAACGATGATGATGCTGATAATGACGATGGAAGTCTTCAATTAAATCCGTTTCTCTGTTTTACTTTTTATCTCCCTTCAGCCGTTCCGGGTCCCTCATCTTCATGACGATGGTGGTAACCAACCCTTATGCCGGACTCCTGGCCGACAAGTACGGTCATCGTCAAGTCATCTTCGTGGGTGGAGTCATTTCGTCGCTCGCAATCTTAGCAAGCTCTTTCGCGACAGATTTCACCATGCTCACCATCACGTATGGTTTGGTGGGAGGTCAGTAAAACATGGGCTCTATTTTATGATAAAACACACCCATTTCTGTAAAAGAGAACTGAATTTTCCACAAAAAAGCTATCAATTACAAGTGATAAACGGTCTTTCCATACATTCTTCAGTAGTCCAGGCGGCGCGGCACTAGTGTTTGTCAAGACATTAAAGATAAACTCCAGTTCTGGTAAAAAAAAGAAAATGAATTCTCACAGAATCAAACGAAACTTACACTGAATGTTCAAGATTACAAATAAATGACATGTGCCAAACAATTTTGGAAGAAAATGTATATTGGCTGAGTAATGAGCATAGAAAGACAAGGAAATCAAGGTAGTACTAGCCCCGACACCATGTGTGTTGTCCCATATATAGCTTTCTGTGTACGGGGGGGGGGGGGGGGGTAAGGTCACCTTTTTTAGGTCAGCCATGGGAATAATTTTTTTAAATATGAGATTGTTTAACTCCCCAAACACCCCCCCCCCCCCCCCCCCTGCGTACGCGCCTGTAATGGGTGATATAGTACTTTAACTACTTTTCCTAACTCCGTAATTGACATTTTAGTGTTTGTAATCCTTAATGGAAATCAAATTTGATATTAGGACCATTCGGATTATGTTTTGATAGAAATCCGGATTATCATTTGTCCTTAAACCGGTTCGTACTTCCAAAAATATCGCTCCTATTTTCTTGTCTGTCACCGGCCCATGGACAAGACAATAACGTCATGATAATCCTACACAAAGCCCAAACACGTATATCAAATGCAACCAGTGCATGCCTCTCAATGTTTAATCAAACTTTTATGGTTTTATAATGACTATTGATCGTCATTATACATTATGTGTATAAATACTTGATGACAATGTCAATACTATAAGTGGAATCTGAGCCCGGATTCGTCATCATGATAACACGTGTGAAGTAAACCAAACGGTGCCCTTTCGAACTTCTCGACGACTGTTGCCTTTTTTTTTTATTGGAAGAAGTCTGTTTTTCATCCTCTGCGAGCGTGAACATGAACTTCCTTTAATACGACAGGTAAACGAAAGGATGTTTGTTTCGGATGTCACCTTTGCACTGACCGAATCCCTCATTTCGAAACCTAACGCTGTATTTTACACTAATCCTAACCTAAAACATAACTGAAGCCCGATCCCTCATTAATATCTTCGACGAAATAACCCAGTAAACAAGGATCGTTTGATCACCGTCATTAAAGCCGATACTAACAACTAGATAATTTGTGCAAGTTTATGGACTGGTAAATAGCATTGAAATCGTTAAGCCCTCTTTCACGTAACCAACCAATATTTTTGATTGATTGATCACCGAATTTCCTGACATAGTCGCTGCAGGTAATTAGGTCTCTGATGAGTAAGACGACCCGTCCCTTATAGGTAGGACAATTATTTATGTCCCGCGATATTTAAAGAGCACGATATGAAAACTCATCGTGAACGGTACAACACCTGCACACCCATATCAGTTACATATTATGAGCGATGAGGATCATCGCATGCCCTTTAAATGACTCTATTAGCGTAGGAAATAACGCAATCAGAAACCAGAATGACGCACCATGTACATCGGGCTTTACATGGGCATGTGGGCGTCAGTTATAGCATACTTCTCGCTTTCTCGATTCGAGATGTAATACAGATGTAATATTATGTAAAACCTAAAACTAAGGCGAGCTATACTGAATCGGATTCATGAAAGTTTCATGCCGCTAAATACTTGAACTGAATGGTTGAATTTGATTTCCAATGAAGCGAAAAACAGTTTGCAATTTAGAAAATGTTCTGGTGTGCACTCTAAGGCTGTATTGATATAATTATCCAATTGCTTATTATGTCGCCCGGGACACCATTACAAGCAGCTGCCCGCAGATAAAGCACCAGTGCTTTAATACAGTACACAGTTAACGTCCTTGACCGGTCTAATTATTATCCCTGGTGATGTCGTATGTCCAAGCATTGCAGCACGTTTCATTTTTTATCTGATTATATTTTGCTCGATTGCTGTAAGAGAAAATTGTTGACCTTTTACTCTTTTCACCGTGAATAGGCTACCGCCGTCTGCATGATGGCTACAGCATATTTGGGGGTAGTTTCTTTCAAGTGATGTGAAACCCCATCGTGGAATTCAGCTTCGAGATTCACGATGATTTATCTTCTTCAATTATTAAAACAAAATGCAACAAAACAAAAACATATCTGTACCAATGGCTCATAAGAAGTTTAAAGATAACATCTACAAATTTGCCGACAGGTTTACGTAACCTACCCCCCCCCCCCCCCCCCCCCCCCCGTTCCGATTGCAGCGGTTACATAAAATGGTGGAAGTTTTGGATGGTGCAAGAAATGTCAGATTTTGGATTATTTTTATATGCTCATTGCTTTATCCGTACAATAATTTTATGATACAATTAAGATAAAAGGAACATCCGTGCAATTAACTGACATTAATGATAATCATTATCTAACTAATTCAAATCGAGCACTCCACTGCACCAAAGATAGGCCTACTGTCATTTGTGTCTCAGCATTATCATGTTTTCCGTCACTTTCTTATTCCAGGCATTGGATTTGGACTGAGTCACATGCCTGCAATTGTGATGCTCAGCCGCTACTTCGACACCAAAATCGGCACGGCTACGGGACTGGCGATGTCTGGAACAGGACTCGGGACCATCTTCATGTCGATCGTCACTCAGTACCTGGTCGATGAGTTCGGCTGGCGTGGGACCATGATGATCTTGAGTGCCATCAATGCCCACCTATGCGTGGCCGCAGCGGTGATGCGTCCGGTCAAACTGGGTTTGCGACGCATGACCCCCGCAGAGGAGGCTAAACTAAAAGCAAAGACCAAAGAAGTAAGAGGCATCACCTACAAAGAATTGCCACAGGAGGACCCTGCAGCAAAAGGCATGAGCATCACAGCTAACCCTGTACATGAACCTAACGGAACAGAGGGCGCTGTTTTCAGGACTAACACATTGTTAGATAGGGACAGAAACTCCAACTCACTAACTACAAAATATGTCAAGATGGATGTTAACCTTAAATACAATGGATCCACACAAAACGGAACATTCGAGACTATTGAAATAGTTCACAAGAAGGCAAAGGAGGCTGATGCAAATGGTAAAACATCGCCTTCTGCATGTTGCAGGGTATGGTCCAACATTGTGTCGTTCCTGGACTCCGTGTACGGTTTTGTACTTTGGAAGAACCCTATGTACCTGTCTTTTCTGATGGGCATCAACCTATCATTCTTTGGGATGACTGTAGTTTCTGCTCATGTGGTAAGATCGTAGCTTAAGAAAACTTCCCGCTTTGGCAAAAAATATAATCGTTACATTATTGGTCATTTACATTAGGGTTAGATAATGTCAAGTTGCGTTAGGGTTAGATAATGTCAAGTTACGTTATCAAGGCGACTCGAGACAAACTGGAGAGTGGCTACTGAAGACATTGACCTTTCTAACTAGGTTCTACAACACACATTTCTTTATAGAGGAAGACAATAATTAATGGTGACCACAACAGGCAAATGACCTGTATAGAGATATGGACACTTTTCTTTCGTATATCGTTTAGAAATTTAAGTGGCAAATCAATATGAGAGAACTACGCAAGGGCTCATCTGACTCTAGATCAGGCCTTCTCAACTAGTTTATTAGAAGTGCCAAAACAAAAAATTATTGAGGTTGATGTGCCAACCTGTACGTTTGGTGACTGTGTTACGAGGGAGCGAAGCGACCGAGCCGATACAGGGTGGGGTCCAGAGGGCGAAGCCCCCGGAAGCTAGTGGATTTTAGGGGTTTTTTAAGGCCCAGATGTGGCATTTTTAACACCTTTTTGTTCCATAAGACATCAGTCATAGTTTCATATTGATGTGAAATAATTATTACAATTCCTAGCTAAAATCGACACTGGAAGTTAATTTAAATGTAGTTATTTTGGTGCAATAAACACGGAAAATGTCAAAATCAAGTGAAAATCAAACAAACAAAATGGCTTGCTTACATTTTAGGCTCAACTTCGACTGCGACTTTTGATTTTGCTTAGTTTTTTAATTTTGAAATATACTTTTTTTCTTTCTTTAATTTGTATTTATTTATTTATTTTTTTTAATATATTTTTTGGAACAGCCGCGCGCCACTCCGACTGACTGCAAGCGCCACAAGTGGCGCGCGCGCCGCCAGTTAAGAAGGCCTGCTCTAGATGGAGTGGCTACTGACTGGCTTACTGCAGTTTTATGCATTTAAACATAATTCAGTGCCCTTTCCATCCAAATATATTTTGTCTTTGTACATCGTCTCTTTCAATTTTTGTTCATATATTTTTTTATTAACAGTGGTACACATCAGTTTTTAAGGTTACACCATGTAATTATGTCAAAGGAATAAGAGCCCTGAAAAGGACTGATGAACTCTTTTGTTCTCGACGTTTCGATCAGTACTATATATGCTCTGGCCGTTTTCCAGAAAAAACCTACAATTTTGTTCATTTTCTTGTGTCTGTGTGATGTACAGGCGAAGCGGGCCCTTGAGTATGGTATAGAAGACATGTACAGCACATTGCTGGTGGCAGTGTTAGGTCTAAGTCAAGCAGTGGGTCGTATCGTGTCCGGTCCTCTGGTAGACCGATGTCGCCTTAACCCTCTCCGTCTCTACCAGTCCATGGCTGCCTTATGCGGGGTCTCCATCATCTTCAGTATCTACCTCAAATCATTCTCAGGTAGGTTTTTCATCAACACCTTCACCATCATAATCATAATATTAAAGCCCCTCTGCAATACTTAAAGCTACTTGCGACCTCTATATAGCAAACAATACCTAATCGGTCCCTGTTGGTCCCCCATGATCCCCTTTTTCTTATGTTAATTGAAGGCTGATTTGATGAGATCACTACCTGCAGGGAGGTCTTATCCCCCCAGGCCAAGTTAGTGTAGACAGGATTTAATAGTTTTAATTCTGTTCTTAGACTTGTATTATAGTAGCGGATATAATATGATATAACGTCTCTGATCGAGGGCTTCCAAAAGGATTTTCTATTACCCAGGCTCTAGCTCAGGCTACCATATAGGGCTCAGTGCATTCAAGGAATAAATCCTACTTACTTCACCTGGGTTGAGTGTGGCAAATGTAGCTCAATGTCTTATTAAATGAGGTTAGTACTCCGGCAGGAATTCGAACTCTGTTTCCTGCATGTGGTCCAGGGTCTGGAGACTTATCTATCAGACAATCCTGCGTCCACTACACCATGGACCCGTTTCACTGAGCCTTTTTTCAATGACAAATGACAAAAACCAGTGATAAATCTGCTGATAACCAATTAGAAGCAAGGATTTCAGTAGTTTATAACAAAAACTGTCATTTGTCACTGATGACAAGTTTTGTGAAACGTCCCCCTGAGCTGGTAAGGCCGAAGATGGTGACATGTTCTCGAGGGATCTATATTCATTGGTCCGTGCGATTGGGGTAACTCATTGCATGGTTTGTATTATTTGGGGTAACTTATTACATCTTTAGCAAAAGCATTGAAAGAACAGTGAACACGATTTTTAATTTTTAATACATGTAGCTAGCCAAACCCTGGTAACATTTAAAGCTAAACTTAAACAAAATAGATAAGTCTTCCCACACGCAATACGCTTCTGTCATCACAAAGTTAGCGTGGATGTGTCTCAAGAGGACATTTTTCTGACCAAACCATACAGATAGCAAAGAATTCCAATTAATCAACACGAGGCCATAGCAATAGCCTTGTCCGAAACATTACAATCAGTATTACGTAAACCGAACAATTTATCACCTGATAGCTATAAATGATTATTTGAATTCGTCAGAAGCTAGCTGGATAAGAGTTATATAATAAAGGAGATAGTGACCTGTTACAAATAAAGTTATGTAGAATAAATATTATGATGATGTGATTATGGGAAATAGATGGAATGAAATGAATTTGCATGGCCCCTCTCTTCTCTAATTATCCCCTCCCATCTCAATTCGGCATACCAGTGAACTTTAATAAAATTTGCTTCATCACCGATAGTTGTAACTATAACGCAGTCCTAGTACCGGTATAATTCAGGTCAGTGTCAGACCGTTTTCAACGAACTTTATCTCTTAACCTGAAAACCCGATAAAACCTCTCTCTTACTATAAAAAAAGTACTTTGTCATAAATAAGTTGACCTTATTTAAAATATCCCGGCAAAATTGAAATATCAAAGCTTGCCAATTATTGATTTTTGTTTTGAAACAAGAATGTGCAATATTTTATTAACAGTTTTATAGGTCTTCCAAAAACGGTGTTGACAAAATAGCAATCATCCCCAACAAAAGTTTATATGGCTATAAAAGAAGTGAAACTGTATAATCCCAACATTTTTGTATAGATCAGGCTTTAAACAAGTATAACCTCTATTTGACAGAAAACAGAGAGTATTAGATCAATATTCTGAATCGTAAACTCTTGTTTTTGTCACGTGCATTGTACTGTGAGAAGTTAATTGTATCAATAGAATTTGTCGTTTCTGTTATTAAAGCCTATTTCCTGCACCTGTGTTTAAGGTCTAGTGTGACCGATATAGCGATACATCTAATACAGGTTATCCTGTTTGATATGTAACTTACGGACTGGAATTTAACTTTTCCCACCAGATTACCAGAACAAAATAAATATTGGATTTGTTTTGGGGGATCAAGTGGGCTTGACGACTTGAGGCCTAGTCCTTGTCCGTCTGTTGGAATTTTTCGCAACATTGTTAAGTTGCCCTTTAGATTTCTACATTTCTGAGGGCTTACAAAAGTCGGTAGTAAAGGGAATACAATGATAGACCTATAATCGACTGAAACAGAGATGAGATACTACCATTATAAGAAATCGACTATAAAAGGGGACAAGGCGAGGACAAGGCGGAAAATGTAGAAAATCAAATCTATGACATAATTATACCCCAAAAATATGCCCTTGAAGAATGAGAGTAAGTGGATTCGGTCCAAGAATTATAATAATTTATTTAAGCCCGACAATCTTAGATCTAAAATCTCGTTTAACGAAAACAAACTTGAGACGTATCAGACGAACTTCCTTCGTTAACCCAGATTTCGAACAAAAGCCCCGGCACACCCAGTATCGGGCGTGGATTTAAGTAGAATACGTACTAGAGAGCATATTTACTCATTATAATACAAACCACAACGAAACACATAGGCCTACTCTATAGACTACACTATAGACTACGCTGGGGATTCGTAGCCACAGACTAAGCCATACCAACAAAACAAAGGCCAACACCTGTGTAAAGAGTGGCAAATGTAGGTTAATATCCAGTCGTTGGACTATCGGGCTGTGTGGGGGCTCGAACCCAGGACCTTTACATTCAGTTCCCATTTCATCTCAATCTCAATACCTCTTCTTTATTTGTTTCATGTAACGGCATGTTGTGAACAGATCTGAGTCTAAGTACAACTAGACTTTAATTCGTCACTTAGACGAATTAGGTGATACGTATGATAATGGTTTACATAACGAATAATGCATTACACGATATATTATTTTATAAAATGCTTCTCCCATTTATATGCTTCTCCCATTATGATCTATTCATATGACAAGATTAAATTGTGTCTCCTTGATCATCATGGATCTAGGGAAGATAGATTGAAACAATATATGACCTTTGACCCTGTGCAGTAACCAGTTACACATTTGACTCTAATTTACATTCTTATTCAAAGAAATGAAAATGTAATTGATAAATGATTATCATCATTATGATAATGATGATCATGATGATAATGATCATGATCATGAGCGCGATCCTGACATCTTATTGAAAAAAATGAGGGTTGATTTAGATAGCATATAGTCTCAGCTACAACATACTCAAAAATCAACAAAGCAACCAAGCAGAAATAACGGCGATATTGCTCGCAAAAGAGAGGAATGTAGACTCCAGATTTGAGAAAACGTCATCTCCCTTAGGGATTACACGCAAAAATATTCATATATATTCATATTCAAATTTATTGTCCAATGACTGGAAATTTGTTTCATTTGCATGTCGGTACAAGGTTACACATTATAAACATCAATAAGATACATATGGGTACAGAGTAGAACATTTAACTTGGACATAGGTAACAACAAATGCGATAGTTCAACATGCATACTAAAATTCGATTCATAAATTAAGTAGTTAAATTCAGTTCAAGTTCGGATTAAATTCATTCGCAATTCAGATTAAATACATTTAAAAATTTAAACCAATTCAATTCGTAATTCAGATCAAATCCATTTCAAATCCCGATCACATTCAGTTCATAATTCAAATTAAAATATAATTAACAAAATCAAATCACATTCAGTTTATAATTCAAACTAAGTAATAAGATTAAATTCATAATTCGGGTTAAGTTAAGTTCACAATTCAAATTCAATACAGTTCATGATTCAGAAAGATTCAATTCATATTTCAGGAAATAATTCAATTCAAATCCCGATCGCGTACAATTCAAAATTCAGATTAAATTAAATTGACAATTCAGGTTAAATAAATTCATAATTCAGATTACTACAATCTATAATTCACATCAATTCAATTCGTAGTTCAGATTAATATAAAATTAACAATTCAAATCAAATTCAATATATAATTCAAACTAAGTAATTAAATTATATTCATATTTCGGGTTAAATTAAATTCACAATTCAAATACAATACAATTTATTCTTCAGACCAATTCAGTTCATATTTCATAATATAATTCAACTCAAGTTCCGATCACCTAGAATTCATAATTCAAATTAAATTAGTTTACAATTCAGATTAAATGCAAGTTATAATTCAAAATGGGTGATTACATTCAACAAAGTAATGGATTATGTGAAAATAGGGTAATAATAAAGTAAAAAGGGTTGTTTATGACATTATTTGCGATTCTACGTGTTTAAATAATCAAAGGAGATGGTACAGTGCAAGGTCAAAAGGAAAAAAAAGTGAAGAAAAAAATTGTTGGAGACACCCAGACTCGAACCAGGGATCTCGAGGTTAGAAGTCAAGTGCGTTACCGATATACCAAAACATCTCCCATAGCGATTACACGTAAACGGGAAATGGAATTCTCAAATCCCACTTTGCAAGTGAAATATGAGCATGATCCCGGCATCTGATCGAAAAATAAAGGGCACATTTGTGATAGCTCATTGTCTCAGCTACAACATATCCGAAGCTCAGCGAAAACAAAGCTAAAACAACGGAGATTTTGCTCGCGAAAGACAAGAGTGTAGAATCCAGTTTTGAGAAAAAGTCATGTCCCATAGAGAATACACGCAAAATGTGAAAAATTGACATGCCTCCTTTAATCGCAAAAAAAAACGCCATGATACCTTTGTCAAAATGAAAAATTGTGACAACTGAACTTGTAGAAAATTGTCTCAGCTAGAACATTTCAAAATTTGAAAGAAAATCGATCGATATTTACAGAGATACAATCAATTTTCCAAAAATATGTTGACGTCATAATATGCAAATTGAAATATTGAGTTTGGAGGCCATTATGATGACGTCATGAGTTAATTGAGGATCAAATGAGACATGAAATCATATTTCCGACTCATTATCTATCTAAATATGAAAAAATATTGGGAGTTCTTATCTATTCTGAAGAGTTACAAAGAATTTTGTATAGGCATGTTTTTGCTCATGTATTGTGGATAAAGATAACGCAG